CATGAATATTTAGGAGGGGAGGTCTGTCATTGTAGCCTGCTTCTTGGTTTAAATTTCTGGGCTTTTATCTGTGCTTGTGTACTTTTTGTCAAGTAAGGAATATGATTACCTGATTATGCAAGCCCAGTGTAGACTTTGAAGATGTGAGCAATCTTCTCCATATTAGTTTATTGTCCCCAATGGGAAGTGGGATGTTGACCAAGCATTCCAGTGAATTCCTGTGTGCATATGCTGGAAGGCAGGAGGGAAGAATAAGAGTAGATGACCTCTCTTCTTTTGGAGCCTGGTGTGTCCTAGCTGTGATCCCTGGTAATAGTGATTGATGTGTCAGATGTCCCCTTTGTTAGCATATTGGGATTCCCTGGTCATAATATCTACCTTTAACAATTTCTTACTTTCCCTCTCTCTTCCTCTCTCTGGCAAGTGCATGTGCTCTATAGCACTCACATACACACACAAAACAAAACAAAAAATACAAAAACCTAGACTTGAAGTAAGACTGCATTATCCAAAATAAACTATTTCCTAATTATAACAAAGGTCTTGCAATAGAAAAAAAGAGACATGCTGTGGCTCTCATTTATATCTTTCAGGTAATTGCCACTCTTTTACATAATATCTAAGGCACAGGCCTGAATGTTGTTCTGAACTTAAATCGAAGCACAGGCCTGAATGTTGTTCTGAACTTAAATTAAAAGTTTAGGGGAACCAGCAGTTAGCGTAATGGCTGTGTCGCTGGACTCCCACGTAGTCGACTGCAGTTCGCGTCCCGGACCCAGTGGCTTAAAACTCAGGCCGGGCACGTGTGCGTGCATGCCCAAGATCCCCGGAGGAGAATGGAGGAGAAGGGATTGTGGCGTGGCCATCCCCTCTGGGGGGTGATTTCTCGCTTTCTGTCTCTCTGTCTCTCTGTCTCTCTCTGTCTGTCTGGCGAGCACATGCACCCTATATCGAAAGCCTCTCCAAAAAAAAAAAAAAAGTATTTTCCATCAATGAGTTCAGTAATATCTTCCAACTTGAAACACTGGGGGTGATTTTCAACAAATCATCTTCTCTTTACTATCGAAGAAGAAACAAGAATTTTTTTGTCTTTTTTGGCTTTGTTTCTTACAGAAATGCTACAAGTATACAGTAGACCTACCTCAGTTGCCTTTTTCTAAGCTTTCTTTTTTTTTTTTTGGAGAGTTTAAGCCACCGGGTCCGGGACGCGAACCACGGTCAACTACGTGGGAATCCAGCGAAATAGCCATTACGCTAACTGCTGGTCCTGGAAAATACTTTTTAAAATGACCGTTTAAATTTAGATACCTTAGCGATTACTTCATCAAAGAGTTGTTAACCAAATGGTAAATTTAATTAGGTTTTGAGACCAGCAGGTGGTATGGTAGTTAAGGTGCTGGATTCCCTCATGGTTGACCACAGTTAGAGTCCTGGACCTGGTGGCTTGAAAGTCACTTTCCCTTTTTCTGTCTGTCTCTGGTGAGCACACATGCTCTATGACAAAATCCTAAAAAAAAAAGAAAGAAAGAAAGAAAGAAAGAAAGAAAGAAAGAAAGAAAGAGAGAAAGAAAGAAAGAGAGAAAGAAAGAAGGAAAGAGAGAGAGAAAGAGAGAGAAAGAAAGAAAGAGAGAGAAAGAAATAAAGAAAGATAGATTTAATTAGCTTTCCCTGAAAATGCGCCATTACAGTAGATTATATCTAACAATATATAGGCAAAGAATAACATCACATTTTACTAACATATAGGTTCTTGTAATCAAAGTTGTATAGTTTAATCAACCCAAACAGTCCCTGGATGCTACACTGTCTTTGCAAATGATGAAATCTTGATGCAGGAAGACTTTACAACAAATGTAATACATGTAAGTCACTCTGGAGACTTCAATAGTATTCCTAAACCATTTTATCACATCCCTCTCTTGTTAGAGGAAATGGGGGTGCCCAGTGGCTGGCATCCTCTTTTGTTTCTTTCATTTAGGCCAATCCACATACCTTAGCACAAACTGACATTTCTTTTCTTACAAACAAATAAACCACTTTATAATTATTTCATGAGGCTCTTCAAATCCTCTTTTACCCCTGTTTTCTCTTTATTGAAATTGGTAGTCGTAACTTGGGGTGTTTTTTTAATCTTTTGACTTTGATCAAGGCATTTAAATTCATTCTGTCTGTATACTGAGAATAATGACATTGCTATTTTCCTCGTGAGTTTGTTGTCATGATTAAATGAGATAATGCATGTAAGATATTTAGCACATGATAAGGTCGAACTAAATATTATTATAGTATTAAATCCTTATATTCTTTGACCTTGAAAAGTGGCTGAATCTTTCCTAAGCCTTTCCTTGTGCTCAATTACACAGAATAATGACTCTTTCAGTAGAGACTTAGATCTCTGCAGAGAGTAGAGAATACCGAGACCTGTGTTCTCTCCTAGACTATTTCAAATGATCTGGATTGCTTCTTTATTCCTGGGCTATTTTACTTTTTATATATTTCTCTATATTAGATGGTGTCAAACTATTAATGGCTGTTAATTTTAATACAAACACTATTTAATACAAACACTAGTGAATGAGGTAATTCATCTTGTTTTTAGAACAGTACCTGTCATACAGGGAGCACTCAATAACTGTTGTGGGCTAGCCAGTGGCATGGTGGCTAAGGTGGCTGGATCCCACAAGGCTGACTATGTGTCTGACTTTCAGACTGGAGGCTTGATAAACACGGCAGACATGGGTGCACGTGTGCCCAAAATCCTGAGAAGAGAATGGAGAAGAAGGGATTGCAGCATGGTTATGCCTCCTGGAGGGTGCTTTCTCACTTTCTCTCTCTCTCTCTGTCTCTTTCCAGTGAGCACGTGCACTGTAGCAAAACTAAAAAAGAAAACAAAAATAAAACCAAAAAATGTGGATCCAAAACATATTATAACAAAACAAAGTTATTATTATTACTTTTGTTGTGTCATGAGTACTCAGGGGTTCTTTTTTTTTTCTTTTCCCTTTTTTCTAAATTCAAAGATTAAATTGCATTAAGGGAACAGATGCTGGCACAGTGGTAACACAACTGAACCCACATGGGAAAGGTCCTGGGTTCATGTACTGGGACATTCCTGAGCACAGTATGTGAGTGTGTGTGTGTGTGTGTGTGCGCGCATGCCTGTGATCTGGGCTAGCTGAGACTGTGTGTGGATCATGGCATGAGGACCCTGTTGGGGATGACTCTCTATTACTCTATCACTGTCATGGAAGAAATAAATGAATAAACTTTAAGAAATTGCATTTAAAAAAGAGATCCAAAATGCTTTTAAAAACATTTCAGAATATATTCATTAAATAAAAAAGAGTAATACCTTAAAGGTTATTGTATCTAGGGGCCAGCAGGTGGTGTGGTGGATAAGGAAGGGCATTGGATTCCCACATGGCCAACCATGGTTCAAGTCCTGGACCTGGTGGCTTGCTTTCTCACTTTCCTTTTCTCTCTCTCTCTCTCGTCAAATAAAGAAAAAATAATAACAATAACAAATGGAAATAAATAATTCTTAAAAAAAAAGGATTATTGTATCTTCTTCACTTAAAATTTGTCCATAAATGACATCCTAACTTTCCAGAGGGCTTTTGTAAACTGGGGAAGCTAACTGGAAGTGGAGGAAGTATCTTACAACTCTAACTATCTTACATTAAAAAGATAGTTTTAGCATATCTATGCAAGTCTAAATTGATTCAGTAAGCACTTAAAGAGCAAACACCATAGGTTTGGTGTTGTACTATTTTGATTTTTAAGGGTGATTAATAAAATATTACAATCCCAAAACAGATTCTGAAAAGTTTTGCAGCTGCCATGTCAGATTCCTTGATTTATTCATTTGACTTAAGCAACAAGCACACCCCACCCTCTCCTGGAGTTCTGGAGGCTGAGCAGTGCAAGATGAAGGCATGGGAGGGTTCGGGGTCTGGTGAAGGCCGGCTTCCTGGTTAATGGCACCTTCTTACTGTGTCCTCACATGGTGGGGAGAGAGAAGAAAGTTCTCTCAGGTTTTTGTTTTGCTTTGTTTTGTTTTTCTTCCCTCAAAGTTAATTTCTTGAGAAACAGAGACCCTACAGTGTCTTCACTTTACCATCTGCCCTAGCCCTAGCCAGTCAGGATCACCTGCTTGCCCACACTGTGTGTACAAGGAAACTTCTGGATGCAAACCCAGAACCTTCCCAGGCGGCTACAGCCACATGGAATATTGCAGTCCCACTGAGCTACCAAACAAATTCAACATTGGCTTCCTTTAATTCCATGTTTTAAAAATACATTTTTTTTTCTAACAGAAAACAAAAATCTACTGTAAAAACTTTTATTTTCTAAGTTTCTACAGATATTTTGCCCTTCAAGAAGTCACTTCGAAAAAAGTAAAGCTTTACACTATGTGTTTATTAAAATTTAAATAGTTTAAAAAACTTAAAAGCACGACTTGGGCCAAAAGAGTTCTTCAAAGATACTGAGTTTCTTTGAGAATTTAGGACTCGTTCCTCATATTCAAACATTAGCAAAGATTTGTGTTTAAGTTATAATATATAATACATTTGATAAAATCACTCATGTATTTTTGTTACTGGTCATAGTCAGAAGACCATAACCAGAGACTTTTGTTTTGTGATACTCTTCTTGCAAAATTCCGCAGTATCTTTGTCTTGCCCAATATGGTTTTACAATGAGTTTCGGAACGGGGATCCACAATATGTTGCCTAGATCTCTTGGCAGTGTGAAAACTTGTAACTTCAGATTAGACTTTGCACTATTTTCCCAAATTCTGAGTGCTTTATAGGTCTCAGACCTCAGCAGCCACTGTAGGAAATTGAGCCAGAGTTCGCAGGAACGCGCGCGGGTCAGGCTTTAAACTGAGTAACAAGACGGTGGGCGGGGTTAACGGCGAGGGCGCCACAATGGCTCTAGCTGATTGGATGGAACGAAGTGGGAGGAGCCCCCGACCCTGCCCGCGTGCCTCTGTTGCTACGGACGCTTAGGCCGAGGCAACCGCAATGGATCAGGAAGAGGGGCAGACGGCCGTGGACAATATAGTCACTCAGTTCAGCACCTATGAAGATTTCCTCGACTCGCAGATCACCACGGTGGACTTGTACTACCTGGAGGTAAGGGGCGTCGCGGCAGAGTCCCTCAGTCCCTCCGCGAGTCCCCGCGGCTAGGCCTCTCGCCCCCTGGAGGCGGTCGCGCAGGCTGCAGTCCCCGCGGCAGACCGCTTCGAAGCTGCTGCGGTGAATCTCCCGTCCCTCCCGCGCTGCGTGTCCTGACAGAATGTGGGCCCCTCATGTCACCCCGCGCAGAGACACGCGACATGCCCACTGGGAGTAGTGATTTTCTGTGTCCTGGCGTTTCATGGCTCCTCCTGGCCCACGCCCCTTCCACAGGCATTCTCTGCAAGGAGTGGCCTGCCCAGAATTCTCGGGGGCTGTACCGGGGCGCACAGCCTGCGTCTCCCGACTTTGCCAGATTGTACGAAAGAACAGAAGACCGAATCGTACCAGGGCAAAAGACAGCACCAGCCTAGGGTATTTGGTGTTATATTGGCATCTGGGTCCACAAACTCCCACCCCACGCTGTTGATTCAGAGAGCTCCTCAGTTCCTGCTACGGGTAGGTGTGGAGGCTTATACCTGACTTGTTTATCGAGTTTGATAATCACAACCAATGTCGGTAGTAAACATCCAAAAACGAAACAGAAACAAAAACAAAAACAAAACCAAGAAATCAGACCTAATGGTTACTGTCTTCTGCTCAGCAGACAGCCTCACCCTCACCCGCGCCAGGAGGAAGAGGAGCCAGGGTCGAGTTCTAGAGGAAACGCGGATAGTAGCGAGTATGTCCGGGCTGGGAAGCCGGGAGCTGGACCGTGGGGCCCTGAAGCCCGGGCGTGTTCCCAGCCAAGCGCCCGGCTAGACTGGCTACATGCCCATCATCCTGGAGATTCTGCTGTCCTAGACGTGTCAGCCTCACACTGTCCCTTCCCTGTTTGGGCCAGCGAGAACTAGCGCCACTCTGTGGCATCAAACCACAGTTGAGTCTGGGAAGAATTTGAATCCCCACACTTCCAGTCTGCAACGGTATATAATTTCGTATTTTAGTGGACTGAAATTTTTGGCCTCCAAATATCGGACAGAAGTTGGGTTTCATTTAAAAGTGGATTATAGGTTTGAAAGTGCTTATCCTTCAAAACACTTTCATGGGCTAGGTATAGAAATTTTTTTTAACTGCCAGAGGATTATGCAATCAATCACCAGAGAGTCAGGGAGAGACAGGAAACAGCACACTTCTTTCCACCCAGAACTGGCATGGTCACACCGAAAACCCTTAACCTCCGTATCTCCAACCTGTGAGTAGGATTTGGGGCATCCATGCACCTGATGTGTTTCTTAAGTCTCCAAAGCTTGGTAGCTCACATAGGACTTAGCTCCCTTAACCACAGACAATAGGGTGCCCCTAGCCATTCTTTTAAGGGACTAGAAACATCTAATTCTAGGCCTATCTCTGCCACAAAAGAGTTGCGTGACCTTGGATAAGTATTTGGAATTATCTGTTAAATGTAGCTGGTATTTCCAACATAGTTTATAGCTTCATAAAACAAGCTTTTTAGTATTTTATAAAGATAATATGTTTAAAATCATGAAAGGAAGTTTTATGCCTTGCATCTAAGACAATGAAATGAAGGGGAAAAAGTAGTTATGCTAAACAATGTTTGTATCCAAATGTCTGAATATTTAAGTAAGCAAAGATGAAATGTAGACAATAAACATCTTTATGGAATAAAAACATCTTTGTAGCACATGTGAAAGATTGCCAAATTTAAGCCTAGTATTAGTTTAAAAGGTTTCAATATTTAAAAAAAGTTTTTCATATGAATAGAGAACTAAAAACATCCATGTTGACTAGGGCTAAAAAATTAACACTTTGTGTTTTATCAATCGGAACTTTAAAGGTTTTCAAAATGGTAGATGGTGACTATATTTGGCGGAATGGTAAAGAAATGTAGGGTTCCCCCCCCCCATAGGCCATATACACTCACCAGAGAAAGATGGAGGAAGACAGAGAGAGGGAAAGTGAAAAATCACCTCCAAGGTAATGGTTACCCCACAATCCCTTCTCCTGTATTCTCTCAGGATTTTGGATGTGCATGCGCACACACACACACACTTGTGATTTTCAAGCCACTGTTTTGGGACTCGAACTGCAGTCGACCATTTGAAGTCTGGTGCCTCAACTACCACGCCACCTGCTGGCCCCAGAAGTTTACTTTTATATTTGGCATTGTTTAGGCTTATTCATTTTGTACTTTAATAAAAAATAAGATGAAAATTTATTAATAGTTGAGTAATGATAGTAAAGCATACGCACATACACACACACACACACACACACACACACATATTTAGATTGATTAATGACCAACTTTAGGTATCAGTAGCTCTGGAGACTTATGTTCTCAAATATTTTCTGTGGATACGGTTTAATTGCCCACTTAGGCCACACAAACAACAGTAGACTACTCAGTATTCCTAAAATCTCTTCAGCAATTTTCAAGAATACAATATATTATTATTAACTATAGTTACAATATTATACAATAAATGTCTTGAACTTTGCTGAATGGAGCAAATTTTAAACAGTAAATTAGCGATCACACATTATAGTTGAGCCTAGAATCATTAGATTTGGATTCTTGTTCTGCAATATTGTGTATGTAAGCATTTTGAAATTTTCTTTCTTTACCTGTAAAATAAAAGGGCTGGATTAGATTGCACTCGAAGTTCTTTATGCCTGTAAAATTTTATGAGACAGCTGTACTTCCATCTGTCCACTCATGCAGTCCATGTATTCATTTAACCACCTTTTAGTTAATGATCCTTCACCAAGAGCTTGCTGTAGTAGATATTGTCTTAATTGGCAGGAGTTTAAGAATCTGTTCTAGACTTGACCTCAGTAACCTAACTTTAGTATAGTGCTTACATTCAGTCTAAGTTTCATTTATTCTAAGTCTTTACTGCCTTCCAGGTACTCTTTTATTGTGTAGTGTATTCGATTGCCAAAAGTTTTCAGTCATTATAATTTCCATAAAAATTAGTAGTAATAATAATAATAAAAAAGAATTGTGAAAAAAAAATAGTACCAGTGATTCGGGAATAGCAGGTAATATAGTGGTTAAAAACTGGTTTACCATGATGTGAGTCTTGGAGATAGAGGCTTGAAACTCACACTGGGTGCGTGTGCATGCGTGCTCAAAATCCCGAGAAGAGACTGGAGGAGAAGGGATTGTGGCATGGTCATCCTCTCTTGCCCTGGGCAGTGATTTCTTGCTTTCTGTCTCACTGTCTCTCCAGCGAGTGCATGCACCCTATGGCAAAAAGCTCTCTCTCTCTCTCTCAAAAAAACAAACTGGTACTAGTGATTCACCTACAAATGGCCTTATGATTTGTGCTTGATCTATTCTCTACCCTTCTCTGCCCTTATCTGTTCTTATTTGTGCCCCTAACCCCCTGAGAGCTGACCACAGTGGTAATTAATCAGGCCCTTTGGGCTCTGGGTTGGTTTCAGTGAATAGGAAACACCAGCAAGGGATTAGAAGAGGGCTGGGAGAGAGTGGTTGGAGGATGTATTTCCTGACATCTCTCTACTGGCTGTGGTTTGGGAGTGGCTGCATTCCTTACATTTGGCCAACTTCTCATTCATAAAACTGCCATGCTCTTTCCAGGGACTGGCAGTGCTTCTGGTTCTAGGAATTGCTTTCTCTCCCATCTCCTTTTACACCAAATGGTTTAAATGACTTCCCACTGTTGCTAACCCAAGGTTGCTTCACTACCCCACATTAATGTCCATTAATTCTGGCCATGTCTTTGTAAATAGTACTTTTACTCTTTTTAGTCATCCCTTTTGAGTTTTCCAATTATTTGCTGTGATGACTTTGACATCTATATAGTCATTTAACACCTCAGACTATAGTAAGTAGACAAATAGTGTATGAATTTAATATCCACATTACTTTTTATATGATACTTGGCTAAGAAGAAAGGAAAGTAGGAAAAAATTGAAGACTGACACGAGTTAATTATTTGATGATTTGGAAAGGGGTAAGGTGATTCAGGAGGATAAAAGAAGCTCTTCATTCTATGTCTCTTGTGCTTTGCCTGTTTTACTAGATAGCTACAAAACATTAAACATTTTATCACAGTATCAGCAATTAGATTTATCTATGTTAACTCAAATAACAATATTTGTTCTGGGAATTAGTATCAGCAGACCTAATTAAACTAATCTCCTAAATCAATATACAAATAGCTGAAAAATTTTGGCAAAATTATTACACTGTGATTTTCTAGGTTCATTCTCAGTAATTCTTTCATTGAAACAATCAGTCTCTTCGTTTTAATAGCTGCCAATGACCACTGGAGAAATAAAAGTCCTAATTGAATTTCTTACTTTTTCTCAGATAAGAAATCAAGGAGTATTAGAATCATAAGCAATATTGAGTTTTGCTTAAAGAATTTTCTTTCCATTATCCTTAAAATTATTTGGCAAGTATTGATTAGGTGAGACTCTAGGGAAAATACAGTAACATAGTTTACCAAGATATACAGTAAGCCAACTAACAAAAAATAAGCCAACTAGCAAACAACTATTGTATTTTTTTATTGTGTCAAGGTACATAGTAAATATTGTTTCCCATGAAAAATTTTAATTTACATATTTTAGAATCAGCTATAGCTTTTATTTATTTAATAGAAAGAAATGTTGGCACACATTAGCTGCTCTTCACTTAAGAGGAGACCTATATTTTTCCTTCAGTAGGTTCATAGCATCATTGTGCCTCTGTGGAATTTTTTCCCTCCTGGGCACTGAAACTTCTAGACTAGCAGATCCTAGCAGAAAAAGCCAAATTTCAATAGTGAATTACTTGAAGTAATAGTAATAGAAGGGCCACTATGATTTTCACCCTTTGATTCTTATACCTGTGAATCTGGCTGTGAAAGAAACACCACTATATATCCTTCGCATAAAGCATCCTGCAGGAGATTGACCTTGGCCCAGAAAGTGTTGATACTCAGTAGCACTGGGCCTTTGAAAAGGTTATTCCACTATTCTGT